CCACGCGCCTCGCCGCCACCGTCCTCCTCCAGCGTCGCCGCGCCGGTCAGGAGGGGAGGGGAGGGGAGCAGCGCCAGGCGTCGTCGTCGCCGCTGCCGCCACCCCGCGCCGTAGTCGCCGCCGCTGGCCTCCCCCCTCCCTCCTCCGACCAGATCTGGGAGGGAGGGGGAGGGGAGCCGCCGCCGCGGCCCCGCGCGTTGTTGTCGCCACCGCCCCGCGCCGTAGCCACCGTAGTCGCCGCCGCCGACCTCCCTCCTCCCTCCTCTGACCAGATCTGGGAGGGAGGGGGGAGGGGAGCCGCCGCCGCGGCCCCGCGCGTCGTCGTCGCCGCCGCCCCGCGCCATCGCCGCCGTCCGCCACCCCACGCCGTAGCCACCGTAGTCGCCTCCGCCGGTCTCCCCCCTCCCTCCTCCGGCCAGATCTGGGAGGGAGGGGGAGGGGAGCTGCCGCCGCGGCCCCGCGCGTCATCGTCGCCGCCGCCGTTGCCCCCGCCGCTGTCCTCCCCCTCCCTCCTCCAGCCAGATCCGGGAGGGAGGGGGGAGGGGAGCCGCCGCTGTCGCCCCGTGCCGTAGTCGCCGCCACTGCCCCCGCCGGCCTCCCCCTCCCTCCTCCGGCCAGATCTGGGAGGGAAGGGTGGGAGGGGAGCCGCCGTCGCTCCCCCTCCGGCGGCCAGGGAGAGAAGAAGAGGTGAGGGGAGGGGAGAGGAGGAGAGGTGAGGGGAGGGGAGGAGAGGTGAGGAGAGGCCGGCCGTGGGTGAGGGTGGGGTGAGGTTTTGAGACTTAGAAAAAATCTACTCCTATCCAAGTCTATTTATATTCAAGTCTAATTTCGTAGGCGGACCACTTAAGTGGTGCCTGCGTTTCGCAGGCGTCGCTTAAGTCGCGCAGGCGGACCATAAATTTCACCCCGATTTATATTTTTGTAGGCGGTCATTTGGCTCTAAGGGTCATATCCGCCTGCGAAAATAAGATCCACACGGTCGGGAAAAATGCTTTTTCTAGTAGTGTCGGCTAATTTCTCTACAGCTTCTACCGAACCCCCAATTCCTCTCGTGGTCCTATGACCTGAGGCCCGACGGTTATTAGGAGCTACATGCACTACTGGAAAACTGATCTTTGCTAGGTCGATCCGAAACCACAGTAGTCCCGGTTCCAAAAAGAACCATGACTAAAAATGATCTTTAGCCTCGGTTAAAAACCCCACAGCCATTCTGTGATCTTTAGTCCTGGTTCATCCCTGTCAGTGGCCTGTCAGGGAGCCGAGGACCTTTAGTCCCGGTTGGTGTCACCAACCGGGACTAAAGATCACCACTTTAGTCCCGGTTGGTATTACTAGTCGGGACTAAAGATCATCTAGATCTTTGCTCTCGGTTGGTATTACCAACCGGAACTAAAATTCAACGCGTAGTATATAATGTTGGAATTAATAGATGGGCATTAGCCCACTCGAAGATTAATTCTTTGGAAAATCACAAAAGCCCACCTCATAGGATGGCATGCATGGAGAGTTTAGTACCACCTTACTTATTCTAGAAGAGGGGACCTCCTTAAAAGGGAGGATGCTCTCCTAGCCACTTCAAACATGTGTGGTGGAGAGAAGAGGGGGAACACGCGCATGCTCGCTCGCTCGCCTGGCCTGGCAGGGCAGGCGGTCATGACGTACGCGTCGAATGGTCCGCCAAAATTGGTTCCTCACCTTTGCACAGATGCAGCCTCTTTTTGCAGTTTTGTTTTGCTGCGAGAAATTCGGTTTTGTTTTGTTTTGGAAACATTCCGAAAAATCCGGTGCGTGAAAACGGCATGGAGTCCGGATAAGTTACGCGTGACTTATCCGGTTCGGTTATGCGGAGTGGAGATCATGCGGGTGCCCTGATCAAGCGAGCTTTCTCTATATAAACCGAGTCGCTGCCTCCACTCAACACATGTGAAATCAATCTAGGGTTTGCCTCATGCTCTGTGCTGCGCCGTCGCTCGTAGACTACTCCATCCCGCTCGCCGGCGTGCACCGGCTATCAGGAGAGCATGTCTCTGGAACCTCTGTCGGCTGCTCTCTGTTCGTCCACGACGGCTCATCTTCCTGTTTGTTCGCGTGTTGCGTGCCTTCGTCAACGCCCGCAACCGTGAGTGATTCCTGCTGAACAACCGATCTTTCCGCAACCTCGGTACGTGTTTGACATGTTGCGCATATTTGATCTGTTCATGTTTTACTGCTTAGTTTACATGTGTAGATCCAATGATGCGTTTATGCTAGTTTACATATGCAATGTCATGTTTTATTTATGAAATAAATTAAATCATTATGTGCTTATAATTTCAACATATAATCTCTCGCACTTATCCTATCCTCCACGATCGCAACCACTTCCTCACACAAATCACCTTCCTCCTCCTCCCTTCCCATCCGGCAGCCGGTGGCGCCTCCCCTCTCCTCCCCCTCCTCCCTTCCTATCCAGCAGCCGACGTTCTTTTCTCTGTTTTTTTTGGATAATTTGTGATTCACCGAGATGTATAATTTTGTGATTCATTGCATGGATCTGAGATGTATAATCTATGATGTATTTAATTTGTGTGTAATTTTTTTAGGATTTGTGATGTATTTTATTTATGTGTAGTCTATGATGGATCTTTAGTCCCGGTTATTTCAATCGGAACTAAACATGGGCATCTTTAGTCCCGGATTTCTACTCCCGGTTGGAAACCAGGGACTAAAGGGGGTTACCAACCGAGAGTAGAAAAGGTTTCTCCACAAGTGATGCAGTTCTACTAGTGGCAAAAATCCTTACCCGTTGGGTAGGTGGGTATGGTCCGTTCTTTAGCCACCCAAACCTACTAACCCATGGGTAAAAAAATGCTTGCGCCTAGAATGATGTTTACTTTCCTTCGGACGGTAATGTGTGGATTAGTTCTCGTATGATTTATTTACTTATTATATATATATATATATGGTCTAATTCTTGCATGGTTTATTTACTTAATTTTGAATCTTAATATTAAAAACAAGTTCACCTGACATGATGTTGATGGTTGTGGTTGTAATCGTCATATTGTTGTGTAAAATTATAAGTCATCACGGGTGTGGGCATAGGTTTGAGAAAACCGGATGCGTACATTACCCATTGCTACATATTCACAAGGACACATGGGCCAGTTCTTCTGGGCTGGGCGGCTATCAGACCTTTATACACGTTTGTTAACAACAAAGTTGTGGTATTCTTTTTTCTTTTGGAGTTTTATGTTATGTTCGTATCCAAAAATTTGCTTTTTAACAGAGGGAATACATTACAACAATCGTCAGATTGGAGTTTTATTTCAATTTCCTTCCATCTTGTTTTTATGGATTGAATAACGGGAGCAAGCAATTAAGGGATTTTTAAATGTTCATGTGTTGGAAGGGGCAGGGGGGGTGAAAACAGAGCGAATTTGGACGAATAGTGGTCACACCATATTCTAAACCATATTTTTGAAGAAGATTTTGAGCGGGAGTGGATAGTACGTGGACGCGAATATAGAGTGGATTGTTTCGGATGTCCGAAAATGGTGCAGAGTCGCTCAGTTCGAAAACGTATTAAAAATTGTTGGATATTACGTATATATGCAATATAACATCAAATTAGCAATACAATGGGCAACAATACAATAATCAATGAACTATCCATCATAATAACTATATTCTCAAACAGCCCCTAAATAATCACTCAGACTACAAGAGCAAAGTATCCTTGGTTAAATCACAGAAATATTTAATATTTGCAAGATCCCAACATTTCGCACGCATTGCCAGCGAGCATAATGTTCGCACGCACGCACGTTTGGTGTCACGGTGTGCTTCAATATATATATATATATATATATATATATATATATATATATTTGGCGGTCGCATTTCTGGAGCCGAGCTACGGGAACGCCGATCACCCGGGCCACGCACGGCGTCGGACTTCACCTTATGCCGCCGAACGGCCGATCGGTGGTTTCCTTGACTGTCCGCCATAACGTATCGCCGCAGCGAGGCCAGGTGCATGGGTCGTCGTCGCCTTCCAACACAACGCATCCACCGTTACGGGGTGCTAGCACTACTCCTCACCGACCTCTTCCGGAGGCCCGCCGTCCCAGCCAGGATACTTCGGCCGGCCGGCCGTCTCCCGATCACATACGCCGACGACGTTGATGGCAGAAGCTCACGTGACCATGCCAAGATGCTCGCGAGGGGAGCGCGAGGTGCCGGTGATGGCGAAGAACCTGTAGGAGCTCTCGCGCTTGCGAGAAGGGGACGTGGGGGCGCGGGAATGGCGTGGAGGTCGCTAGGGAGGACGACGGCGAGGGCTTGTTCGACCAGGACATCGTAGCTGCAGTGGCGCGGGTGCGCGGCGCATGAATTGGATTCATGGGATTGTTTAGGAAAGTGCATGCGGCCCCCACAAAACATGTTTCCTATCATTAAAACTTGTTACACGCGAGCAGTGGTAGCGCGTGGAAACAGCTGCTAATTAATGCCCGGTGCAAAAACAAGCGCTACTCCCTCCGTCCCACAATGGCCCTGTTTGGATCCGGAGGGCTATTAAATAGCCCTCCGGAATCTTGCTATTTAGGAGTATTAAACGTAGATTACTGACAAAACCTATTCCATAACCCCTAAGCTATTTTACGAGACGAATCTAACGAGATATATTAATCCATGATTTGCTACAGTGATGCTACAGTAATCAGTCGCTAATCATGGATTAATATACATCATTAGGTTTGTCTCGCAAAATAGACTAGGGGTTATGGAATCGGTTTTGTCGGTAATCTACATTTAATACTCCTAAATAGAAAGATTCCGGAGGGCTATTTAATAGCTCGGAGGATCCAAACAAGGCCAATATCTCGATTCCTGGAGGGAGGGCTTTATCTCGAAAAAAATCGATTCCTGCACAGAAAACCGCGTGACCTCTCTATCCGTATCATGTGTGGGGACAGGTGGGTGGTGAGTGGCGACTTCTCCAGAATACTCCTCTCTCCTCCCAGAACCTTATCTCCTCCCAGCCGCATACTACTCGTACGCTTCTCTCTCCCCCTCTCGCGTTTCTCTCCCTCCCGTTCCTCCCCATCGCCCCTCACCCCTCTGGATCGAAGGCATCGACGCGGCGGCGTCCAGATGACCGACCCTAGCAAGCTTCCAAGTCCCTCCTTACCTCCCTCCCGCTCCTCCCCGCACGTCCCTCCTTGCTCCACGCTGCTCCACCAGGCTCCCACATCTCCCTGCCAAGCTCCCCGTCCAACTAGTTGCTTCCACTCATATGCGGCGGGGGAGGGTTATGAGCAGTTAGATCCGATGCCAGAGACGGCTGGGGTGGAAGTGTTTGGCTTGATAGCGGCGTTTATGGAAGCGGCGGAAAATTTTAGGGTTTTGATTCAAGAGACACGAGCCAAGGCGGAGGAGGCGTGTCGGCTTGCGGTTGTGATCCAAAAGGCGGTGGCGGCGGCGACTGCGGCGGTGGCGGAGGTTTGCAAGAAGGCGGTGGGTGGAGGAAGTTGGGATGCGGCAGCGGCGGTGGAGGTTTGCAAGAAGGGGGCGGCGGTGGGTGGAGGCAGTTGGGATGCGGCGGCGGCGTCGGAGGTTTGCAAGGCGGCTGATGTAATGCTCAAGGAGGTGGCGGCGCCCGCGGATCTGATAAAGGAGGGGGCAGTGGAGGACGAGGCTGACCAGCCTCTTATTCTAATTCTGGCATCAACAACTAGGATCTTAGGGTCTTTGGCGGCGGTATGCGTGGATTGACTCAAAGGTACATCTCCCACTCGATCTCCCTGGCTCCAATGCCTCTCAGCCTATTCCATCCTAAAATATACTAAGCAGATCTCATATTCCTCTGTGCGTAAGATAGTTACGCAGTGACCTGCATCTCCAAGTCATTAGCACAAAACTAAACTAACAAAAGAAATCTACTCCATAGCTAGCAACACAAGACTTACCCAATTAATCAGCTAATTAAAAGCCCAAAGTGATTTCTAGGTGATTGAAATGTGATCCTTCAAATTACAGAGCCTACAAAATCGTGAAGCACTTAACTAAACTCATGGATGAATGATTACCATAGAAGGTGTGTGTGTTAATAGACTGGTTGCTGCTTTATGGCACAAAAGAAAAGGATATACAGTGTGTTTTTTAATGTTTTGAGACAGACAGTGTTTTTTTTGTTAAGTACTCGATTGGGTCCAATGGCATATTTTCTTCTTGGGCGAAAGCTGCATGCATATTCTTTTTGTCTTCAACCTGCATGCATATTCTTCCTCTCAACCACAGTAGTTAGCTCATTCTAATTGACAGCAAGTGACAGCAATAGATGAGGACTTATGTCACTTATCGATATTGTTTGTTTGCGCTTTGCCTAAATAAGTTGAATATAGATAGATGCAGCATATCTGATTGATTTCTAACCCACTTACCAAGTTGTCAACCTGATTGATTTCTTTAAACAGTATATGATTAATCAAGGTTTTCTTATTTGAGAACAATGATTATTTTGTTTCAACAATTACATTGATATAAATATAAATATATGGCAGAAATGTGATATTTTTCAAAAGAAATTTCAATTTCATCTTCTCGCATATCTTCAGTAATTATATTGTTAAGAAAAGTGGTTATTTTGTTGTGACTTGTTTACAAATGCTATTGTTTTATCCTTTTCAGGACAATGTTGGTTGACGACAGCGACCACACGGCACTGTTTGAGAAGAAGGCAAGCGTTAAGCAAATCGGCATCGAGGAGATGAGGGGAAAAGCTAAGGATGTGAGCAGCGAGGAGGTGAAGTCAAGCGACGATGATGAAGACATGGTCATTGGGGGATATGCGCAAGATCCATACGATGATAGTGGCCTAGAAGACCTTCTTCAAGACCAAGATGCATTGGAAAAATCGGTAAAGAAATTTCTGGAGTGTTTTAAGAGTGCAAAATTTAGATGAATGCTTCAATTATGTGATGTTTGTGTGCTGGTTTGGTGGTTATGAATGGTGGCCTAACAAAGCAACTCGATAAGTATCCTTTTGGTATTGTATGAAATTATGTGTAAATATGGTATTAGATAAGATTAGGTGGTTATGAATAGAAGCCTTGACAGTCTGTCAAAGTAGGCACACTTTTGGTATTGTATGAAAGCATGTGTAATTACGGTAGTAGATGATATTAGGTGGTTATGATGGTAATGTATCGAAATATTTCAAATTATGATGGTTTATGGTGGTGACTGAAATTAAGGAGACGTTTGTACCATGATTTACTCTAATGCTGATATTACAATGTCATATGTACAATCTGAAATTAAGCCAAAAGCTGAAACCATCGTAAAACTTCCTATATTACATAGTCCAAAAGTTCAAACCATCATAAAACTTTATATTACATATTCCAAAAGCTGAAACCACTATAAAACTTCCTATATTACATGATTTGTTGTATTTACTTGCGTAATACTGATCTTACTTTACCATATATACAACCTGACATTTAACCAAAAGCTGAAACAATGATAGAGCTTCTCATGTTGCATGATTTACTGCACTTGGTTGGATAATGCTGTTCTGAACTTGTCATATAGCTGACGACCACAACTAAGGGTATTAGGGAGAATGTCTAGACGCTCTAGCCTCTCTTTACCCATATGAGGAATCCTGTATCCATTTCCACCATCAACTTCCATAACCTCTAACAAGCAAGATTGTAGAGTTAGGAAAACCCTATTCAGCTTGTTGTCATCATAAGCCTGAAATTCCTGCTCAACATTATCTATTAGCTCATCTATATTCCTAGATATCCTTCTATATGTTAATGATTGCAGAGATGCAAAGAACCCAAGATCTAGTGCATTCATATCTGTGGAATTAGGAGGCTGATACATAAGGCGGATGTCAAACCCTGTTTGAGATACTGCATAGGCAAATTGAGGATCATCCACCGGCACATGAGACGGAGCATTATCTTGCTGAATCCATATAGTGTTGTGTCGCTCTTCTCGAGGCCAACTTGATATAATAGCTGGTAGGACTTTAGCAATTAGAAATGATCTGACAGTATCTCGATCAACCTTGATTGTCTTGGTGACAAGAGTCCCTCTTGGCCTGTTTTGGCTTGCCCTTTGTGCTGGTTCCTAAATAGTAAATTATGTAAGTTAGATTAACAATTAAGTTTTGCATCACAAGCCTATCTTGCCGTCACTAATTAAAAATGCATATATGAAGATGTTATGATACCTTTTTGGTGAAAGGCCACAAGCCTATCTTGCCGTCAAAAGTGCAAATACCTTCTTCATTGTATCTAGGCCTAGCCACTGCTGCCAAGAACATCACTTTATCAATAGAATTCTTGTTTTGCACAGGTCTGTATGGATCATCCTCCCAATGGACCATGTAAAAATTTCTTGTCTTCTTAGTGGTATTGAACCATTTTTCATCGATGTGCACAATATTGCGCATATCAACAAACTTGGGTTCATCTAGCAAAGTATGCCAATCTAACATGGAAAGACACCATCGCAGCCTTGACCGTTTGTTCTCTTCCTTCAACAATGGCTTTAATGTGTTCGAGTGACGTCTTAGTATCCTTTTTTCAACATCCTATGCAGCGTGCTCTTTGGTACACCTGCGGCTGATGCAAATGACCGTAAAGTGCCCCTTAGTTGCAAGGGAACATTAGCAATATCTGATAGGTTGATTTCATTCTTTTTGTGACCAGAATTTTTTTTCTTTCTAGAGCTTACATCGATTGGTATTCCTTGGGCACGACATTGCTTCGCTCTTCTCCAAAAATCTTGCACTCTAGCTCTTTTCACATTAAACATTTCTGCAACTTCAGTAGTAGCCTTTTTCCTTAGGATTCCGTTGGTAGTTTTCCCAACCAATGCTATATATATCTATTGCCTTTGTATATTGGTCAGATTTTTGTATGGCTGTTCATCTTCCTGATCTGAATCATCCAACTCCTCGTGTTCGAAAACAATGTCCACATCACCGGCATACAAACCGTACTCCTACATGTCTACAACAATAATTTCCAGGTGAGTTGTCTGCACTAATTTAGATGGTGAATTTTTTATCGTCATGGATGAACATGCTTTGCAAAATTATGGCTGATACAACATGCATATTCTTTTTATACATGACCATGCATTATATAATTTGATTTGTACTGAACAATCATAGTAGGCAAAACTGGAAATGAGATCTCCATATTAAGTGCTCATGTTGATAATAAAGTTCTTGCACAACTTGTTAGGCTCACCATGTGGTTTACTTTATAATATGGTTTAACCATACATATCATTTAGAAGGCAGAGAAACATTGGCACAATTTACTGTATGTGCTTTCTTTGAGATTGCTATGGCTGTGAACCAATTAACATGGAAAATCTATGTAAATACAACATATTAGCATATTTATAATCCTTAATCTCATCATTCGTTGTGATTTACTATGTGCTGAAATATCCAATTTATAATCCTTAACTGTTGATGCAACTAATGCAACCAATGGCATTGCTGAATTATTCTAGGTAGTTGACATGATGTAATAATAGTACCTGCTTGCATTTGTAGGTGTTCCTTCAAGGCATCGGAGTTGATATCAAAAGGAAAGGCATTATGGATGTGACCTCCATAAAGTTGTAGAACTTGATCCATTGCATCGCCATTGTCTACAATAACAATTACCATGGTCAGTAGTTAGTACCATGTCAAATAGCAATATTTTTTGCAAGCACAATCCTTTTTACCCATGATTCAATACTGAAGTGGTATGTGTTCAATTTGCAAAGTATCATCTATTCCAGATATACCTATGAAATGTCCACTTAGTGATCATCTCTGTTTCTCTATATATAACTGAATGATTTAGTTCATGCATTCTATGCGTGCAAATAGATATAGTAAGTAATACAAAGGCTGTCATGTTGTAGAAAACATGATTTTGTAGACTATAACAGAGTGCCCTGTTCGCTGCTGGTGATACTTGATGTTTGACATGCCATGCATATTTGCCTTACTAGATGTGTGTGACTAAAAGAATAATGTTTATACTTTTTTCCAATATATCCAAAATACTTTTATTACTAACTAATCTATTATGTTACATAACTAATGGAACCAATGATTAATATATGTTCCTTTATGCAGTACAACATCAACACAGGAGTTTATGAGATCAAAGAACCACAATCAAGGTACCAACTGTATACCCATATGAAATTTAGTTTTTCTGTGTAGCTATTTTATTATTCTACCCTCAACCATGTTTTTCAGTAGAGGGAGTCTAGTGCACATATTTTAAACACCGGTCTTGCTTTTTGATTTGTCCTGTTTAGTATATAGCATATCAGGATAGATTCTAGACATTAGATAAGCATTATAACAAGAGATAAGTATTGCATTAGTTCAGCTAGCTAAATGTATAACCTGTGATATTATGGAAGGGGAATTAACTTCAATAGGGCCAACTCATTGACAGAATCAAGTCGGTAAAAGAACAAAGAAAAAAAATCAAGTCCTAACAATTTCCTCATACTTATCAAAGATTGATTTTGTTCCAAAAACATAGCGATTGCATCAAGGCACATGTTACTGATCATCTTTTCAGAGAACTAGTGAAGATTCTGAGTTATTTATGCTAGTCAGTGCTACAAATGTTAATCATTTCATATTAATGCTTGCAAAGTTACCTGGATTCATTTCTCCTTGATGGCCAGGTGCATCAATATTGAGATCAAAAGGAAACACATGTTTGTCACCTCCCTGGACATCACCTCCAAGTTGATCCTCCTCCTGACCAAGATGGATTTCAACTTCAGCAATTTCGTCATTGAGGTCAGGCAAAGCCTGTTCATCTCCCTCATCTACTGGCTTGTTTAGATCAAGAGCCATGGAGGTGATTTTGAAGACTCATGCAGTGATTCAGTGGGAGGGAAACTTGCTATTGAGGTTCATTTCAAACTTATATAGGGTTGTTGTAGTGGTGTGTGCTGAAATTTGTAATGCTTGCCGCCAATGAAGCAATGCTAAGTTTCAAAATATTTGGCGCCCTGGTTGCTGTGTATTATTTGTATATTGAGCACTTAATGGCTGCATCAGAAATATTCTTATCCAACTTGGTGGCTGAGTAGTACTACTATTTTATTTGTCTCCAATGATTGCATGTACTTTCACTGAGGGTATTTCAGTCTTTTGCCACCTGTCCTAAAATTGCCTTGGGATTCTAGGGTTTGAGATATTGTGGGACGGAAGGAGTAGCTCGTTTTTCTCTCTCTTCGATTCTCTTCCCATAATCTTGAATTCGGATGATGTGAGAAATTTTAGAACCTACTTAATCATCTTATTTTACCTCATCAAATATGTCAAGTGTTCTCAAGCCGACGCTATAGAGCCCAGCCCGGCATGACCCAGGCACAACCTATAAGACTCGGGTCATGCCGGGCCGGTCCGAAGGCCCAACAGTCCAACATGCTTCTCCATGGAATAAGTATACTTTTCCTCCCTTATCTCCTCCGGCTATGTTTTATATGGCTGGAATAAGTCTTTTTTGCATAGCTCTTCTCTTTAGACCATGTCTTATATGACTGAACTAAGTCTATTTTAGGTCTCTCAACTATTTTTCTCTCCTGCTCATAGGACCATGCCGTAACGAGCCGGCCCACCGTGCCAAGGCGTCGGCCCAGACACAACCCAACTATCGGACCAGCTTGGCACGGACCCGACACGTACCAGTCATGCTTGGACCGAGCCAAATGGTCATGCCGTAAATCAAGTCGTCAGGCCTTATGTCTATAGCCTGCGCTACCTAGTAGGTGAGATCGGGACTTCTCTGATTTGATATGCCAAATTAGAAGGACCTTTTTTATAGATGGCCACAACGCTCGTGGTCTGACGGCCCGGCCCAAGCACGGCATGGCATGACTAGTGTCAAGCCCGCGCCAACCTGGTTCAACGGTTGGACCGTATTCAGACCGATGCCTTGACACGGTGGACCAGCCCGGCACGACATGGTCTAAGAAAAATAGTTGACGGATTCAAAATAGACTTAATTCAGCCATAAAAGGTATGGCCCGAAGAAAAGAGGTATGAAAAATAGACTTATACTAGCCATATAAGACACTGCCGAAGAGTTGAGGGAGGGAAAATATACTTACTCTATGAAAAAGCACAATAAACTATCGTGCCTTCAGGCCGGCCCGACACGACCCAAATCTCATTGGACCGTGCCTAGACCGTTAGTTCAGCCTGTGGGCGGGCATGGCCCGGTCCGGCAGGTAGGTCGGGCTGGTGGACCGGGCCGTGCCCACCCGACTGATCTCAGCTCGCGGTCGTGTCTGGTCCCATCTATAGGCCTTTTCTATCCCAGAGCACACTCATAAGTTTTCTAGTCCCAGAGCACACTCATAAGTCAAACAAACTCTCCCGTCCTTCTGACCATTTCTCTGGGTTAAAAAATTATTTGTCTTATTTAAATATTTTATATACTTAGGCTCTGTCTAGTGCCTAAAACTTTTCGAAAAACATCACATCGTATCTTTAGACACCTACATTAAATATAGATAAAAAGAAAACTAATTGCAACTTTTCGAAAAACATCACATCGTATCTTTAGACACCTACATTAAATATAGATAAAAAGAAAACTAATTGCACAGTTTGCATGTAAATGGCGAGACGAATTTTTTGAGCCTAATTAATCCATAATTAGTTAATTAGCCATAAGTGCTACCGTAACCCACATGTACTAATAACGGATTAATTAGGCTCAAAAGATATCTCATGGTTTTGCATCTCATGGTTTTGCAGGCGAGTTATGAAATTGAAAACATCTTCTAACATCCGGTCAAACGTCCGATGTGACACACAACAAATTTCATTTCACTAACTAAACATGCCGTTATTATTATTATGTAAAGTTCCTTTACTATATATCACGAATTTGCACATCATCTTTTCTTTGTTAACGAAACACGCTTGGATAGAATATTCAGTACAGGAACCAACTCACATGTCATTGCCGAAACCAAAAAAAAAGAGAGAGAAAGAGAGAGCGAAACGAACTCAATAGTAAATGTTCAGAAAAGAGGCCAACAAATCACAGCAAATTGACCCAAGGTCTCCTCGATAAAAAAGGGAAGAGCTAGTACATACAATTTTTACATATACAACCACACAGCCTCACGACTCACGAGACCTGCAGAGCTTTGCAATCAAAGCTAGCTAGAGAAATGTCGTCACGACGACGGTGGAAGAGGCCTGCCAGTGGCGGCGGCGGCGGCGCAGCGAGCAGGCGATCCCGTCGGCGAGGGAGACGCACGCCGCCACCCACCGGGCGAGGGACACCCAGGTGACGGCCATCAGGTACTCGGCGAGCTCCCACGGCATCGCCATGGATGGATGATACGTACGATGAGCAAGCTTGGACTTGAGAGAGATGATCGATCGGTGATTGATGATGCGCTCTAGCGACTTCCTAGGCTGATTTATGATGTATATATAGCGTGGACGGTCAACGGATCGGAGAAGAGGAAGAAGATACTCCAGCTTAGATAATGGTTGTGATGTGATCCACGAGAAAACGACGCGTCGCCTAAACTTCTCGTGTGGATGGGTGTGAGGTTTGGTGTGCCTGCTCGTTCCGCCGTACGTGGCGTCCATGCACATCTTTGCTGCTCCAACGTGTCGTCCAACGGGCGGTGACTTGCTGCTTACGAGCTACCGTGTAAATGTGAAACTTTAGGATGTAACTATGAAATTTAAAGTATAATTACATTGTAAATTCATATAATTTTTAGTGTAAAAGATTGACTATTTTTTTTTTCGAGATGATGTCCGTTCAAATATACAGTGAAATATGTTCTATATAAACAAAATACATCCATACAGTATAGGCCGACCGCTCCACCTATTTCTTAAGACCTATGAAAATTCTTATTTTTGCAACGGGTAACCGACTGTCATAAGCTAGTTACTTTGTGATAATCGATTTTCGTAGGTCATCGGACCCTGCCCATCAGTCATCAAGAAAATTCCATATATACCATCCAAAATGACTGCCCATCAGTCACGGAGTGATTTACAAAATGACTTCTTCTCCTTATGTGTAAGTGTGAAACAAGCTGGTGGAAGATATAATTTATCATTCTTCTCTCCTTGAGGGTGTAACTCTTCCCTAATTCCTATCTCGACTAGGTCAATCCGTAATTGCATACCATCTTTAGTCTTCCTTGGCATGTCCAACAATGTTCCAACTATATTGTCAAACATATTCTTTTCTAGATGCATGACGTCTATGGCATGCCGTATCTCTAGATATTTCCAGTACGGGAGATACTTAAAGAAAATGGAATGCTTCTTGAAAGAGGGGAGGGAGTTTATCATCTGGCTTCTTACTATCTTTTGGTTTCTTAGTCTTGTCGGGTTTCTTGCGCTCTGTCCCCTTTGAAGGTTTCTTAGTTACTTTTCCAAATTCGCAAACAATTTTCTCTGTCATTGCACACACTTCTTCCCCGGATGTAGGTTTCGTGGAGGATCACTCTCTTCAGTGCCATCGAATTCCGCCTTCATCTTACGGTACTTGTAATTTGTGTGTAGGAACCGCCGGTGCCGTATGTACACAAGCTTGTTGGAACCCGGGAGATACCTATAGTACGTTCCATTCAAGCAGATCACACATCCAGTTTTACCTTTAATTTACCCTGAAACTGAAATCATGGCTGGATAATCGTTAATAGTCACGAATATGATGGCCTTCACTGTGAAGTATTCTCTTAAGTACTCGTCGTACACTTTCAACCCCTCTTTCCATAAATCATCCATATCTTCTGACAATGGTTCAAGAAATACGTCAATATCAATACCAGGCTGACGGGTCCCTGTATCAGGATAAAGAGAAATACATATTTTCGCTTTTGACAAAGCTAGGCAGGAAGATTATACATGGTGAGAAGCACTGGCCAAGTACTATGTGAGCTGCTCATGTCTCCAAAAGGATTAACTCCATGAGTACTCAAGGCAAACCTAATATTCCGTGGGTCTTTAGCAAACTCTTTGTACTAACGAGCATCTGCCGGGTGTCGAATAATCACGTCTTTCTTGCGCCCTTCTTGATGCCAACGCATTAGTTCTGCATCTCGCGGATTTGAGTATATCCGTTTAATGCGATCTTTGACATGAAGATATCGCATCACAAGCTGCGGGATTTTTCTCTTAGTTCCCTCGGCTGTGTCAGACAGTTCTATTCCATTATTGCTATTCGATTTGTACTGGCTAGCACCGCATGTTGGACATTCATCCAAAGAAGCGTACTCTTTTCTGTACAATATGCAGTGATTAACGCACACATGAATCTTTTCGACACCAAGAGAAAGGGGACATATGAGTTTCTTCGCTTGATATGTCCTGGATGGTAGTGAGTTAGGCCTCGGAAGCATATTCTTCAGAAGTTCAAGCAGATTGTCGAAACTACTATCAGACCATCCATGTCTCGCTTTTAACCTCACAAGTTCAAGAACTGACCGTAGTGTTGTGAACTCACTGTCACAGCCCTTTGACTTATCATACAAAACTTCCTTAGCTGCCTTCTGTAAAGCTTCAATGTTATTTAAACCTCTAGCTGACCCAGTCAGCACCTCGGGTTCTGCATGACGTAACATTTCCCCTAGATCAATTTTGTCCTCACTAGAACCATCGTCGTACACCATGTCTTCAACTTATGTTGGAACTACATTTTCAGGCATGTCCACTTGTTCTTCACCATGACGTGTAGGGGTGGAAACGAGCCGAGCCAAGCTCGGCTCGGCTCGGCTTGCAGTGGCTTGCAAAAATCTAGGCTTGGCTTGGCTCAGCTTGGTTAGGGAAACAAGCTAAAATTTGAGCTCGGCTCGGCTCGTTTCCTAGCTCGAGCCAGCTCGAGCTGGCTTGGAAGCCTTCCTGTTGAAACACCTCTTCATATATATTTTGTAATTATTAATAAAAGTAAAAACAAATCATCAACATGTAAAATTTAAATAAGTTTATATATTCAATTCTTCAAAATCTTAATGATAAATTTGAAGTTGACAAATAATAACACCATATAAAGTAAAATAATCAATATAAACACACGATGGCCTAGGCTCGCGAGCCAAAACAAGCGGCTCGCGAGCTAGCTCGGCTCGGCTCATTTTAGCAACGAGCTAAAAAGGAGGCTTGGGCTTGGCTCGTTTGGCTTACGAGCCGAGCCAAGCCAACCAAGCTCGAGCCAAGCCCGAGCTGAGCTCACAAGCCCGAGCTTTTTTTCCACCCTTAATGACGTGTCCATATTTCATACTTTTCCATAAATCCATGAGTTACTAAGTGCTCCATCACTTTAGACACATTGTTCCAGGCTATTTCATTCTTACAATCAACACATGGACAAAGTATCTCCCACATATTGTTCTGTTCAGCGTGTGCCTTCGCAATACTAATAAATTTAGACACTTCATCTCTATATGGAGCCAAAAACCTCGGCGAATGATACATCCATTGCCGCCTGCCCATATCTCTAAAAAAATGAACAACAAATATTTGCACTATTAATACCAAATTTGTAGGGTTCATTAACAATAACATATCACTATTCAAAACTAAGTGAAGGTGATTTATAAATTAATGAAAAACAAAGTTTATTTCAATTTGGTTTATACAGACATGCCAAATTAGTATAATAGAAAAATCTAACAAGATCATACCATATGCATATTAAAAATAATACAATTAATTTTTTATTAAACCAAATAAATAGACATAAAAAAATTTCTTCTCTCTCACATATATTTCTAGATCTGGATCTAGATCTAGGAGGTGGATGTGATAGCAAAAGAAAAAAAATAGGAATTTATGTTACCACATTAAACCACTACAATAAGAGGCATCAAGTATTACACATACATCTAATATCAACTTATCAGAAGAAAGTAAATAAAAAAATATGGAGCTTTTCCTTCACAATTTTGCATGTATAGATCCATCACAAATTGAGGTCTAAAACCTTAAAAAATTGCATACCTAGGGTGGAAAGGAGTAGATCTAACCACCGTAGAAAAATCGCATGAAGATTTGAAGTTCAAAACCTCCCTCTATATTTAAGTCACTTTAGGAGAGAGAAACACCACATAGAATGAACAGGGCTCGGGGAGGAAGATGACTATATAGTTGCATTATCGCAGGCGGACCACATAAGCGACACCTGCGAAGATCGATCTTCGCAGGCGCACGTTCATTGCCGCCTGCGAAGATTGCAGGCGTCGCTTATGTGGTCCGCCTGCGATAATCGATCTTTGCAGGCGGAGTGCCAACTCCTCCCCGGTTATCGTCTTTGCCAGCGGGGTTTTCGCTCCGAAGGCCATGCCCGCCTGCGAAAATAAAACCCCAACGTCATCGAAAATGCATTTTCTAGTAGTGAATGCCATCGCTCAAGTGGGCTTCGATAAAATACCATGCCCAACAAGGATGGTTTTGCTGGAATACCATCCTGGACAATATTGCCCTTGCCTCTTCTTCTTTCTCCTCCCAGTGCCAAAGAAGCTTGCCGGCGACGACCTCTCGCCATGGCCATGAGCAATGAAAAAAAAAAAGGAAAATCATCCTGGATTGATCTGCTCTGTCATCGTTTTGATAGAGCCCGTACATGCCGTACATGGCATGAATTAACAGAACGAGCACACCACCTCGTCTTCCTCTCGATCGGTTGTGCTTGTCCGCCGCTGCCGCCTGCTGCTCATCTTGCTGCACCCAGGAGGCGTCGCCTCCGCCACTGATGAGTACACAACTAGTTCGGATATAACCATGACTACCTTATGTATAAATCAATCAAAGGTGCATATGTTCTATATTAGATTTACTTGTTATATATTTGAACAAACGTTGCTACACATTGAGATTCGTGTGTTTTCGTTCGCAGAGGTACTTGCTTGGGTGAAAGAAATACCCTCCAACCGTGATTGGGGAGCCATCTCAGCCGTTCAGGAGAACCCTGGATCAAACGGAGTTGCGGAGGGTTCGGCCAAACCATGGGCTGGGCTGACCTGACCCAATTTCGGTAGGCAGCCTCCTCTTTTGCTCTCATAGGCAGACTTGTGAATTTTGGCCCAATTCATCGTGTCAATTCTGAGTTCTTGGCCTATTCATATATAAGTCTGATTGTCGACATCGTCCGATTGATTTATCGTTTGAGTTGATGTCGATTCTCCTCCACTTTATTGTTATTCTCTGCAAAAATGTTAGTATACCTAATACTAGTGGAATATTATTATTCTAACAGGTATATGCATTGCAAGCATCACTAGTTCTTCTCTAGTTTAGTAATATTGACGGTCGAAACTGATCGATAACAACCGTCAACACATACTATAGTAAGGTGTCTTGGTGGCAAGTCAATTATTGTAGTAGTCCATCACTTTATATTGAAACGTTATTTGGTGAGGTTGGGGTGGATCTTTTTGTGACCGATGGAACATTCATAAGTGCGAGTGTGGCAACTGTCAAAAAAAATACTCTAAAGCTGTGTTCTAT